ATATATCACCTTGCTAACAGTATCGCAATATATCAGGATATGTTGTATCGTGACCCCTCTGTCATGATCTGTATCGTATCGACAAATTCTTGCCAATACACAGCCCTACTTGATCCTAAACCTGAGCCCCCACCTATAATTTGCATTCGTACCCGCACGTTTGGTCCCCACGAGGCTGCTTTTTTTGGGAAAATGGTTCCCACCATGTACGAAAAACATGTACTGCACACACACACACACACCCACACACACACATACGCAGATATATAAACAGAAAGACAGGTACCAGACACGTCCAGTGATTTATTTCTGTTTTGTGGTAGTCTAGGTTTTTTCATGGGGGGGTTGCGATTTGGGGGCTTCTCAACATTATTAGGACTTTGTCTTTCAGTGCCTGAGTTCATGAAGGATAAAAGACAGTTAGAGAAAGAAGCTTTACAAACAGAACAACAAAACACAGACACTTTTATTCTGTACTGTAAGAAAAAAAAGATAAACTTTCAAACGGAGTCTTTGGGGTGGCTGATCAGAGTTTTCAAAACTGTATAAAAAACTTTGTGTCAACATCTGATTTTTCTACTTTTACTGAAAAGCGTTGAGCTCAAAGAGTTTCAAGTCCTTGGTTTCTGCTTTCCTTTTGAACTTAGATCTTTCTGGAAACAAAGTTATTTTGCTTCATGCAAGTAAAAATATTTATTATAATTTATTTTTACCTGCATCACAGGACAATGCTTTTCTGTTCCTCTGTGGTTTGACYGGTGCCTGAGGTCTCAGACCTTCTTCACCTGAACACAAGAAATAAAACATTTATCAGGTCATTTATTTATCAGCACAGTTGTTGACCAAAGTCCTACACAAGTAAAAAAAGAACGAACCATAATGATTTATATGATTTATTTATTTACTGTTTGGGTAAATAAACTTACTCTGCTTCAAATACCAAAGAAGAAAAAGTATTCTATAAATAAGTTAGACAGCAAAGTCTGGTTGATACTAAAAATAAAGATTATTACATAAATCTGAACTGATTAAAATTACTTTCTGAAAAATTGGGGATTAAAAAAGTGCCTGAAGGACCCCCAGCTGGAAAACCTAGCTTTTACCACAGTGTTTACTAATAATATGTTGTCAAAAATATTATTTTTCTTAGCAATGTGTGTTTTGTCTGATTGTAGACTTTAGTGTGGGGCCAGAGAAGAACAGGATGTCTAATAATAAGCACCAGTGTTGATCAGCCAGGAGAGTTTAATGATAAAGTTTTAATGATTTATGTGCTCAAAACCATAAAACAGTCTTAAAAGGAGTATAATGAATCATCAGCATAGAAGTGGAATGAAATTTTATTTTCAATAAATCAAGTCAAATGTTAAAAAACGAGGTGTTCAAAGTGCTGCACAGGGAGAAAGAAAACAAACTTTAACAGAGAAATTAATGAAGGAATTAGAAAAATAACATCAAAACACAAATGTGTTTATGTTCATAAAAAAGGAGTCTTTAAACAGGTTTTGAAGGTGTCCTTTGTTGGTGAGGTCCTGTGGAAGTGTAGACTGACTGTTCAAAGGCTTAGTTCTGTAGAGGACATGCCCACTTCCCCTCACCTCATCTTGCCACTGATTGACCTTTGACCACCTGAGGTCAAAGCCCCCTCTTCACAGACTGAACTTTTTTCCAGCTCTCATGTAGAGCTATTAAAAAAATAAGCCTTTTTACTCTCCACTTTTCTCTCGGGAAAAATTCATGTTCTCAAAGATCTGTTATTTTGCTGATAAAACAAGTCAAAACAAATGTTCTGTTTGTTTCTRCTGTTCCTCTCACATGGATAATTCAAATGCATAAACCCTTTAAAATGTTTTACTTTGTGTCTTTAATTTTTCAAGGGCTCTTTAGTAATAGTTATTTTTAAAACTGCATTTGATGTGATTTTATTGTTTAGATCATGTTTAGAAATTATGATTTAGTATTAACAGAACTAAATTCACATTCTTTTGAATTCATTGGAATTCAGTCTCACAAAGCATGCAGTTCTCATTAACAGCCTTCTCGTTCGGCTYGGTACCTCTTTCTTCTAAGTAGGGGATGGTTGTTTACAGCGCATGCAATTTCCAGTTAGCTTCTTAGCTTCATTTATGGTCGAGCTGTCGCACTACGTACGTTGCGGCCAAACGTTAGCGATTGGGTAAATCAGATCCAATCATTTTAAAGAGGCAACATCATGTGAAATCAACTTTTTTGAGTTTTATACCATGTTATAATGTTATACTCTCATAAAAATCATGCCCAAAGCCTTGCTCTGACTCATTCATGCATGTTTGAGAAATCCTGCAGCATTTTTAGGAAGCCATGCTGACGAGTAAAACGACAGGTGGGGACCAGAAACGCACCTGGGACGTGTTTTTAAGCCAAACTTCCTCATGGCAGAGCGCACTGCCTCCCCCCAACCCCACACACCCCGCCCATGACTCCTGCAGGCTCTCGGGTCAAAGTGAAAGTGAAACCTAACTGTCTGCTGAGCTCTCAACATTAGTTCTCACTCAGTGAAGCTCTTTTCAGATTAAAAATACCTTTGAAGAAATGTATTTTCAGATGCCAAGTAAACTGCATCATGGCAGTCCCCCCCCCCCCCCCCCCCCGTGAGACAGAAGCGGAAGGTGGTTCTTAAAGAGACAGAGGCCAATTTCGAGGCGTTTAGAAG